TTTAATCGTGAAATTAATTCGTAATATTAGTGCAATTACTTTTTTGTGCGACGATAAATTTTGTGCGATTTTTGCAGAACGTATGTTTGCCGTGTTTAAAAAGCGACCTTGTTCCGCGATAAATACGTTGCGTCAGTTGGCTCGTCTGCTCGGGAAATTCGAAGGAAGAGAAAGATCGTGGTTACAGAGAAAAAGAGAGAGACAGTTATTAAAAGTCGAGTAAAAAGGAGAGATGAACCGTGCACAACGGTGCAAGTTTTCCTTCGATTCCGTTGCACGAACCTCTCCTCTCTGTTATGTATAATACACGGTGTTTTTGCGTTGTCTTTTTACGTTTACTGTGCAGCGTGTTTCTTTTTCCTCGTAACCTTGTAACGTATATATAGCATACAATGTGCACGAGCAGAAGGCATTCTGTGTCGTCATAAGAAAATTTGCAATACCTGCTTTTAATGTGTGTACTTGTGTGTCGTTTTTATGGTAGATCGTCCGATTAAAGTTGTCCTATTTTATTGATCTTTCCCTTTAAATTTCTCTTGGTCACGGATTCTTCCTTAAAGTACAGATTTAGATCGAATCCTGTCTGTTGTTATTCTGGATCAGATTTCCGATGTTTAATTTGCACCGAACAAAGTAAATATATCCAATGTTTTTCCAGGTACTGAAAGCATGGAACGTAATTATGGCGTCCTCAAAAGTAAACGCGTTCTTTAACAGGCGCACCTTTCTCCTATTTGATCTATTTTCGTACCACGCATCAAATTCAAGGACTGATTTTCGATTGAACTCTGTTCAGCCTTAATTTACTCTCGGTAGACTTTCTGGCTCTGCTTGACGATCATCTTCAAAAATACGCCCTCAAAAATACCTTCCCTCGAAATATATTACTAGATTCGAGCAAATTATTGTTCGTGGTTTCGATTGGAATCTGATTTATCTTTAGTTAGTTCTGTTTCTATAATTTAAGAATCCCTTGAAAACTCCTTTTAATCATTGAATTCCTCTTTATATTTATTTTTCTAGTAAATATAACTTGCATTTAGTTTCGATACAATATTTTTACGAATATTTTTTATCGATTCTTAAACGAGCTGATTGAAAGTACAGGCAATTTCCTGAAACGATACCAAGTTTGTAGAACGTTTCAGTATCAATCAAAATATTACTTGACTTTCCCCACAACTGGTTTCTTTTCTTTTCTCTTTTCGGTAACGAAACGAGAGCGTCAAAAGAGCGATAGAGATCGAAGCGGATTAAATTCGTGCCATAAACGATATTCTTCTCGGTCGAAGCAGGCTGTCCAACTCCATCAGAGTAAAGTCAGCCTAAACTAGCTGAGTAGACCGTACAAGCCGCGATTCGGTTTCTCAAACGGTTCTTTTTCTTTCCTCCGCTTGACCTGGGCTTGAATACTCTTTCACCGATAAATTAGATAGCAAAGATCACGTCGCTCCTCTTTTCCTATACAGTGTATCAAGCCCTCCAAGTGAATTCTCTTTTCCTGGCGCGTTCGATCCGAGATGCAATATATTCGATATATCGAATAGAAGAAACCGAAGCCAGGCTTCGAACGAAGCTATATAACCAATCGGAGTGACACACACACCGTGGGCCTTTGAACCGGCTTGTTTTATTCCATCGACTTCCCTTCGAATTGCGAGAAACTCTCCGTCGTCCAGAAACGCGACGGGCAGGATTCCGTGCTGATCTCCCTTGGAATCGGGCGTCCAGAGCGTCTGTTTCTTTTTTCCTCACGATATCGCGCGTGCGTCGTTGAGCGTAATCGCGAGGCGTGCGTACGTAAACGTGAAAGACGGTGACACGAGCTCTCCATTGATAAAAAGCAAGAGGCGATAAGACGGCAAGAGTCGCGTGGTTCTACTATCAGAAACTCCGACGACGACTGGACACGAACCTTCCCTACTTCAGAGAAACCTCATCGTGGTGAGGGTAGAGAGATAGAGATAGAAACACTAGTGAGCCTGGTGGGGGAATAAACAGGGGCAACCGTTATCCCCACCACGATATTCCTTTTCTACCACCACCCACGCGAATTCTGTTCAGGATGAAACAAGCTGTCCTCTTTCAATTCGATCACCTTTCCTATCACGACCATTGCATGACGTTCCTTCGATATTACTTCTTTTTTATGATTGAGCTGCATAACCTGGCGTTTCTTTTCTGTTCAATAATTCCTTTATTTGTACATATACATTTCTTAGTATTTCTATATTGGGGATTTCTATAGGATTTTCAGAAAATTTTGTTTTGGATTATTAAGTTATTTTTTTGTAAGTCTTTCCTAGAATTTATATAAATATTGCTGTTAAATCATTTCTGACAAAATGCATATATCGGAAAATATAAATGAGATTCTATTTATAATTTATTGCGCGCTCGTTAAGTCAGCTGGTTAAACTTTGAAACGCGAACTGTAGAAAATAATTTGTATGTATTATACTAGCGTGGTATCAAGCGTTAGTTGACGCCTCATCCATATTAATTACGTTAATGTCTGTTCAAAATTCTAGATCGCCTGAAAGCATAATATCATATTTCCATTCATTATTAATTTTGTAATGCTCTTTACTACTATTAATAATTATAAATAAAAAATATTTATAATTACATATCGATTACAAAACAACTGAGATATTTTTCATTACATAATCTTTCTCTTTATTTTCTAAATCATCAAATGTATTTTATTTTGGATCCAAACAAACCATTGATTACAATTAAGGATCTAAAGTTGCATAAACTGAATTAATAGATCTTCCAATTCGCCTTTTCGAAGTTCAATTTAGTCTCAGCTGCTGAGTGAACATGTGCAACCCAATGTTTTATTTTGTCGACTCTAAAATTATCTCCGCGTGGAAGGAGACAGAGGTAGTGGGGAGGCGATAGGGGTGATCACCCCTTCCACTTTCATCGCTGTCTTCCCCTACTCTTCGTTCTTCCCCACCAGCACGACGAGTACGAACTGCCACCTTTTCACGTTTCACGTTCGTGCAACCACACTACTAACCAAAACTGCATATACCTTAAATTATGCATTCGTTTGGAATGTATGCAGATGTAATACACGTGAATGTGTGTCCGTATAGCTGTATCGCAGGAAATTTCGAAAGTTCTTTCTCTTGCCGGAACGATATAGGCAGCGAAAAATTGACACGCTGACTGTTTGCGCGGGAATATACCGATAATTTGAATTGATTTTTAGAACCTAATTAAAATACTCGATTATTTCATAAATGAAATACGAATATCAATATATCTTTCCGTTCTACCTCTGAGTTAGAATATATATTTCTGGAATTCACTGTCAAAATGGAAAGAGAACGTACTCATCAGCATATGACCCGGAGAAGCAAATCTATAGACAATACACTCATTGTCTTCCGACTAGAAGGTTTTTTCTTTCAAATTCTACCAAAAACAGTAGGCATTTTAATTTCTATCCCAGCAACTCGCCTCGAGCGAGTTTCAAATACAAACGTACGCGATACTAAACTACTTAGCTATTATCCTTCCATTTCTTTTCTTCGATCTATAGAATCCTCATTAATGGCCTTCCATGAATGCTTTCACTGTTCTAACAAAAAAAAGGAGATCGATTCTACTGCTAACAATCTTCTCCTTGGAAATTCAATCACCGTTACGGTATACAAGCCACTTGGCCTCGTTCTATTGCTTTTAAATTCCAAGTTTCTCGTATAAGAAAGGTAATAATCTCGCGGGCATTTTCTTACGGTTGGTAAAAGCCTGCGCGCGAAAATTTTTCGATATTCTCACGAGAGGAAACTCCTTCCGGGCCCGACGAAGTTATTATCGACGTGAATGGAGGGCCGCACAAAAGAACATTGGACAGACACATTCTTCCCGATCTCCTTTGTTCGCGAGCCGTGAAAAGCTACCGAAAAGGTTCAGGCAATCTTTTTTTACACGCAGAACTTTTCTTTTAGCTCGCAGCTGTTCAACAGCGAACTTGTTCTCATTCAGCGGCGACCAGCCGAATTAACGGTAGTGTATCGTCACTGAGATCGGTCGATTTTCGGGAGGAAGCCGTGTCGGGTCGATAACGCGTGCGCCAATCACGCGATTACGAAAAGTTTCAGATAGGAGGTAAATATCAATGTTTATACAACCGTTAGTGTTGATGATAAAAGGCTAGATCAGATTGAAGTCCTTTTTCGTTTTATAAAAAGTTATGTCAGGAATAAAATATTTAAATCCGAGAAATTTAGGGTTTAGAAAATTTGGATAATTAGTAAAAATGAAAATCTAGAATTTTAGATCTGAAATTCTGAGAATTTAGGAACTAGTATAAAATCAAATTTTATTTTTAACTAAGTTTAGATAAATTGATATAAATACATCACTGTGATTTTCAACTCGTTATTTTATCTATAAAACGAAGAATGGAGAATATACATAATTATTTAATAGAGAATTCCATATTTCTACAAGTATGTGTAATACGATTCTCAAATTTATGGTGACGTCAGCAGAAGCGTAAATTTGAAGAGGTTTACTCGAGAATAAGGAGGTGTCCCGTCAGCGAGAGAACATGAGGGTAATAATTAATAATCCGCTGAACGCATCACGTTTTAAAGACCCGGTTGGCAGCGTGAAGAAAGACCTGGGGTGCCGTTAATTAATTCACATTTCCGCTCGGCTACGAAAGTTCGAGCGGAAGATGGATCTGATTCCGCGTATACATATAGCATCTTTTATTCACTCGAACGCGAAATTTTGGTTTGCTGTCAATCGCGAGAAACGAAAATAGGAAAATAAAAACGATAGCAAAGAAATACGGATGGTCTTTGGACGTTGATTTATTGTGTCGGAGTGTGCTTTATCATTGGGTTTATGTTTTTCGTTCGTACCTCGCGGTTTCCGGGAAACGATAAATAATTTCCACAAAATACGCCATTAAACAAAGTTAAAAAAAACACGATAAAAGGTATCTATTCTATAAAAGTTTACTAAAAAATTACCTGCTAGTGTTGAAATGACGTAAATATGGTTGAATGCGTGTTACTCTCTTCTTCGTTGTCGTTTCGCAAATATCAGTGTTTCCAGATCGATATCACTGGTCAATCGAGCAACGATGAATTGAGTGAAAATATAATTCGACCGAAAAACACGATCGAGTTTGTTCGCACAGGAAATTGGTTTTCAAGCGATTTTTTCGAGGAGACACGTGGCGTCGAGACGACTGGCGTCGTTACGTGCGCGACGCTACCGATGTATGGTGCCTTCACGAATACTTCTCCGCCCTAAGATTCTTTCCCTCCGTCTTTTTCTTTCTTCCCGCCCCGTCTCCCGCGCACCGTCAACCCCTCTTCCTATGTCCCCGCCGTTCACCACGATATCCCCCACCACAAGCTTCACCTTTCGAAAGCAATGGGCAGCCATGGGTTCCCGGGAGGCCCGTGAGGGACGTAGCTAGCGATTCGAGCGCCATGACCGCCATAAATTGTTCATATTTTTTTTTACGAAGGCATTAACATCGGCGTACTGTTTGGTTAATAGTGGATATTGGTAAATGGAAGGTGATTCGATATTTTCTCAGAGTTATGTTGGAATTGGTTTACAGTTTACATAGCTTAAACTGTTATGAAAAGTACACACAAAATTGTTGTCGATCTTATCCTACATGTTTTTCTTTTAACTAATAATTTAGTGGAATTAGTTGTAACATATATATATATATATAATTATGAGAAATTTGTAAATAATTCTCTAGTGGTTTTTTAAGTCGACGTCCTGATTAAATTTTGATATTAATTAAGATATGTTACTAGGGGATGATTCAACTTCCATGAACCACATATAATATTAAACTCTTAAATTATGCAATATATAGAAATTATTTGCATATAGTTAGCTAGATGTATCGCATTAATTTCCTAAGTTAACGGTATGCTACATGCAAGCAAAGATACGTTGATAAAAAGGGAATCGCGGTTACCTATGCAACTCGGCATGTTGATGACACTCTCATTCCACTTGCCGTTCTTGCACTCCAGTATCCTTGTTCTTTCTTTGCTGTCAGGGAATACGGTGCCGAATTTGCACAAAAAGGTTTTCGTAGTCAAAGTACCATTCAATACGTAACTTCCGTTGGGTGCTGAGACATCTGGACAGGCTAGCACTAAAACATTTATTATCACCAATCTATAGAGTTGCTGTTTCTAGTCATCGTGTCAAATGATAATTAATTGATATGTTAACATCTTGACGACTATGTTTTATGATTTTAATCATGTACTGTTATTGTATTTATATTATTTATGTAGCTGAAAGCAAACATGGAGATTATATTCTATACAAGATTGCTATAGTAATTGACAACGGATGAGCGTAAAATTATACGATGCAAGTAAATATTTACAGACAGTAAATAATATATTTTAATGAAGGACTCTGTATTTAGAATCTCGATAATATGTATGATAATATAAATCATATTAAAATATAGTACTTAATGAAGAACAAAGATTAGTCAAGCAAAACGCGAAGGTAGCCAGACGCGTGTTAACAAGTAGACTCGTCAACATTATTTCTGGATGAGAGATTCCTTGCGTAATTGTGAACGTTTATGCGTATCGCGTTCCATCCTTCTCAGAGAGGTTTGATTTCAAGCAAAAAGAAAATAGGTAAAAGAAGCACATTACCGTTGTGCTCATAAGGTTAGACCGACCTTGATATTGCAAGAAGAATCCTCGTGCCGTGTATAGCTTCTTCGTGGCGACAAGGTCGAGGGTAACTACATTCGAATTTGAGATGACCTTGACGCCAGCCGCGGTACCGCAATTCTCGAACAACGTTTTTCCTTTTTCCCGCACCCTTAGAATGTCTACGCAACTTCCATCCGATTCAGGCTCTGAAACAGTTAGAACATTTTATTGCTCATATTTTTCACCATCCTTTATCCAAATACAAGCTTATATTTTTAATTATCTTCTTTCGTTATTCATATTATAAAAAATATTGCAATAACATTGTGCAGTACAATACATAATAATTTAACGGAAATAATTTTTTCACACTTCTTCTTTCAGTTTCAATCCCTAATCTAAATTTGAAATTTAGCTTCTTCATACGAATCCCAAATAAAACAGAAAAGAAGATTAAAAGATTAAATTTCACAGATATAAAGCTTATATCTCAAGCACGTATTTTGATCTTCTTAAATGCCGATTAAATACTAATGCGTTCTCGAAGCTCGTTTATTTCCCTTGGCAAAATATATCGTCACGGCTCGTGATTTCGTAATCAATTCCATACAAGATCCATATGAGTTAATCGGAGGGTCAGAAGAGTAGCGAGGGAAGCTCATTGGGATCGATACTCACCCCGGATATTCAGGTCGTGAAGCGTCAGGACTATCCTGTGCCCAGGAGCCGACCTGAAGGTCCAGCCGCACGTATTTTCACCGAGGTAGTAAAGCGGATAACCCGGTGAATTTATGAAACCACCCTCGCCAGGGACCACCTTCAGCTCCTCGTTGCAATATTTCTTCACGGCAGCCTCTGAAACAACCGCCAAAAATCATATAAATTCAAGCTGATATATCTAAAGAATAAAAGAAAAATTGAACAACATACTGTCGATGTATGTACAACCATATATATTCCTTTTTTACGATTTAGCTGTTTCACCGAGGGTGGAAAGAAAATTAAGTTTCTTCCCTAATATATGAACGAGGAAGGAAAGCTTTAACACGAGGAAACCCTACTTTCTCCCATTCGATTCGACTCAATTGAATTGCCAGCCACCAACCATCGAGCTTCTGGGAGCATTGTTAGTTATAGAGACACGAAATGACGACACTTTTACCGGCAGAAGGACGCGGATCAACATCTGCATTCGTTTCGGTCCATTTGTCGATTTTGAGTGTGACTCTGGCCACCATTGTGCGACGTTCGGTCTGACCGAGGGTGTCCTTGCCCCACTTTTCAACGGAGGGGCGAACCGACCGGAGAATATCTACACCTGGAGGGGGTTGATACCGGTTGTAGGGCGTCGAAGGGGTGGCCTGGCCCTTCCCACCTTTCCCACCGTGAAGAAGGTGCTCGTTGTCTCGTAATTTCGTTCTTTTCGAGCTTTTATTCTTTCGAAAGGGTAAAATTGCTGTTTTATCGAACTAGAAGTTTCACGTCTTCGCGTCGAAGATGTGAATTACGTGACATGTAATTTTGACATGGGATTTAGTTTTTATAATGAGCGTTTCTGTCGTGAATTGTGATTTTATAAGCAATAATTTTTTTACTGTTGTACTGTAGTAGTGTTAGTGTAGTAATAGAGACGAAGCGCGTATATTATTCTTTGTGTGTTAGGAGTAATTTATGACGCAGAAACACGACCGTGTAACTTTATCTTTCGATCATGAAACCATAGATTCTTTTGTAACACAGTCAATGTGCAGCTTATTTATCTTCCAATTTTTTCTCTTGCGAGTGATCGTCCACATCTGCATCAGCTGCTATAATAGGTCATTAGAAAATCGTTGACGGTTGAAAATAGTTTATTTATAGTAGTTTGTTTATAACTTCTTTATCATATTAAGAGTAATAATGGAGAATTTGTTGCAGTGTAGGATAAAATGGTTCACAGTAATTTTGACGATATATGCAACAGTACATAAGTAATGCAAAGAATATTTAATTTACCCCATAACTAAAGGCTACGTTTCCAGGTGTATTTGATTCTGATATAAAAAATTCTAGTTTCTCATTTTTAATAATTGTTGATGCTTTTACCGTATATAATACTATTGTAGCTAATCGTGGAAGGATCGTTATAAAGTTGAAGTAGAAAGTTGGTACGATTGAAAAGGTGCTCGACGACTGTAATTCGCGAGGGATACAAGGACCTTCGTTCTGTACTCAATGATCCTTTTTCGCGTATATTACGAACTCAGGGTACGCGCAGTTGCATAGAAACGTGGGATTAGCGTGTCCTTCAGGAATTTCTACCTTTTGTCGCGCGCCACATACCATTCATTATGAGACGTTGTCATGTTCCAAGCGGATTGTTGGCTATTATGAAACTTTTGGGCGAAAGTTTTAATCTTTTGAAATCGAAGGTTGGAATTGCATTGAATGCATCACGTGTTCTGTATAAGTTTCGGAATGTTTTAGAAAATTATAGGAAACGGTACGCGACGTTGAAAAGAAATAAAAGGGAAATTTATTTTAGCACAAATGCACGAATTTTATTTATTGACAAGTTTTATGTGACCTTGAAGAAAAGGAAAATTTGTTTACATACGTAACTTTTGGTGGGAAATTACATCATACAAAAATGAGAAAATTGAGAAACTTTTACTCGGATAAGCAGAATATTTTCTTATTATAAATGACTTAGAAATTAATTTTCACCAAGTTCGTGGATAACAAATGGTTTTGAAAGATACAAAAAAATGAACGTATCGTACGTGACATAGCATTCATTCTTTAGCTTCCATCTAAAGATGGTATATTTTTCTGGATTATCAAGATTGAAGATTATCGATTGAACGTGACTGACAATCGATTGTCTATGTTCTATGAGCAGGAAGGTAATATACACGTGAGAAACAGAAACCGGAATGCAGGTGCTTCCTGCTTCTCGTGCGATAAGTTCTATAGAGCTATTCAGAGCGTGGAGATATTACATATTACTTTGAAAGGATTATTGCTTTGTTCATGCCTATGTATGTGTTAATTTAATTTTTGGAAGTACTTACCAGGAATGCACGCGTACTTTAACTGCAAAGTGGCAGGATTCCAGTAAACAGCACCTGGTTGTTCGGTGGTGAGGTTGTAACGACAATGTTTTTGTCCGGAACATCTAAAGTATGAAAACAAAAATCTTTCGTTAAAAAATATATTTCGTCTAAACATACGTTCATGTCTAAACTCTTCGGATTACGAATTCAAGATCTGAAATTTCAAATTAAAATTTTTTTCAAATTCCCAAATTTGTATTCCTTATTTCAACTTTAGAAATATTCAAATCCTAAATTCTATATTAAAATTTCTCTTTTCTTCTTGTAGTATTTTCTTGCTGTAATAATATCCGGAGAAATGCACCGAATTTATCAAATGTTATCGCGGATCAACGGATCAGGAAGTTCAATTTCGCAATTTCAAACACGCATGCCAATAAATATCCGTACTGCAAACGGCGCAGCGCAGATTGTATCGATTTCTCGGTGCAGTGTCGTCTATTAAATAAGCGACGTCGGTCATTAGAGGGTGTGTACCGGGTGTCAAAAGCGCGAGCAGCCTGCGTTTGACCGGACAAAGGAGAAATCGCGATTGTTTTCAGATCGAGATGATTGTTGCGCAGGGGATCGAAAGCGGCCTGGTTGCATGAAACAATGGCCATATAGGGTCGATTCTCACTCCTTTTACCCTTGGAGGTGATTTACCCTCTCTTTTTGTCGATTTTATCGCTTCGCTCCCCTTGGCCGGAAATAAAAGGGAAATAACGTTTCATGCGCCACCCACGCGAGGAATCCCTTTGAATTTTTCAGCGTTGCTAACCTTTTCGGCTCGCGACTCTTTCATCGTCACGTTTTCGATATCAAAATGAGTTTGAAGCGCGTTCACTCGAAATGAGTGATATTTCATTCTAAAGTAAAACGTTTTATAGTGCGATGCTTGACAGATTTTCCATGAAAATAGCAGAGAAATTTGTGACTGTGTATTCACGCGTTTTTTAAGTGTCCGATGAATGGTCCCATACTGGGAGTTTCTCTAATTGTAAAAGAACGTTCTTTAAATTATTTGAAATGTTTACATATTCGTTCAAAATGGCACTTCTGCAATGAAATAAGCAGTGACAAAATCAGTTGGCGAACGAGAAGACGCCGGAAACTCGAACCTAAAGAGGAAGAGAGGGTAGTATGCTCCCTCTAGTTCGTGGCTGCAACCCCTTATTTACAAAGTTCATCGAGCTGTGCTCCTGACGCGCGATGTACTCTCCTGGAAACGATTTCTCCTTCGTCGGGCATCGAACGTCGCTCAAAAGGCAATTAAAACTTCACGTACGCTTTGCTGGCGCACATCAAACGGCAATTTTGCGTGCCGAGATTTCGTTCCACCCTTGAAAACACGCTTCCCTCGTGGCACATACGATTACAAAGAAGAAAATTTCAAGGAGAGAGAGAGAGAGAGGGGGGGGGGGAGCAGAGGAAGAAAAAAAACTGTTTCTTGCAAAAGTAGAGTGGAGACCTGTCTAAGTCTGCTGTTACTTCTGGCGAGTCTTTGCATACGAAAATACCTACTTCTCTCAATCATATGAATTGAATTTATACTTCTACCTGGAGAAAAATTGTTTCTATAACTACTCTGTATTTACGTGGCAGGAATGACCTGCTAGTTCTGTGGTTTACAGTGAAGTAACCTAACCCAAACCGAATATTCTTTGCTCCTTCCTTTCTTTGCGGATGCCTAGTGGGTGACTCGTATTACCGGAGACAGTTATATTGTATGGAAATGTGATGAAAAGCGAAAGCAGTGGCTTGTAGTAAACCCACAAAACTTCAGAATACACGATCTCGAGCTACATCGATCAATGTTGATACCGAGAAATCAGGAATTTATTTCTCCTCCACCTTCACTCGTTTACTTTATTTCCTCATAATTAAACTACGTTGTGTAAATAAATTTATATCCTTGCGGATATAGCGAAAGAAATAGTCATAATTCAAAATGTTCAAAGATGCAATACGAATTCTTTCGGATCTTTTTGAATACTTTCGTCCATTAGAAAACCGTGTAAATACGTAAATAAGGGTATCACAAAAACATATACAGAGTAAAAGTTAATTTACACATAACAAACTACATGACATACCTCCTGTTCAATGACTGCCTAATATCTACCACCCTGAATTGTTCATCCTCAATATCATCGATATAATTTCCCTTCAGCTCTTTCTTCTTGAACGACATACTGCTACCTCGAGTCCTGTACACTTTCTTCTCCATCAACTTCTGCACATCGTATCCGCAAGCGTGCGTAAGATTCGACAGATACTCCGCTTCCAGGACGAAGATGAACGCCTTGAGAGACCTGCAGGTCAGTCGGACAGCACCATGCGAGCAATAATCTTCCTGGACCACTTCCATGTAACCACCCGCTAACCTGACGCCTGTCAGAGTCTTTGCGAATGGCGCGTGCGTGCTCACGAGTAAACTTTTCGTCAACGAGCATCTCGTCACCGTCATCAACAGCAACAGAAGACTCGTCAGGGTCGTTGCTCCTGGCGCCATGGCCGTTGATCATCACAGAGGTCGAAGTAGTCCTCCTTCACTCTCGAGATGATCTTAAAATTAGCCTCCTCGAGACGGCGAAGGAATCAAGTGCGTCGATAACGTGGACCAATTTCCTTCTGTTTCTTGTTTCTGCCTCTGATATGACCAGCCAGCGGCTCTTTTGCTCCTCGAAACCGCGCTCGGACACTCGAGGACCACTTTATGGCTGGGGTCAACGACACTCTTTTCTGTTTTCTTTCCGTCGAGCCTGTGAGAAACATAGAACAAAGTGTGAAGGGTGTGGGAAGAAGCTTTAGGGCGGAATGTAGGCTGAATTCTGGTGGAACGAGGCTCTAGAGAATGTTCCATAGAAGTGGTGCAGAGATAAATAGTAGCAAGTAGTTTTTTTACCCTGAGAAATTCTTATTCCGCTTTGCAAATTCTGTGAACCTCTTTTGACACTGTACAGGGTGTCCCAGAATTAAATGACATCTTTTCTCGTAGTCGTTTGCGACAGAATGCAAACTAGTTATAAAATTACAAATAGAAAAACCTAGGACGATCGTTTATCAGTTGTAATTCACTCTTAAAAGCAAATTTTATCCGTCATAAACAACTTAATGTTTATATATTTTTGAGTAATGGTATATATTCTGCTTATTGTTTCTCTTTTTTTCAACAAAATGAGAGATAATGATCTTTCTTTGACTTTAATAAATCCGTTCCCGGCTACGTTAAATTAATTAACCTACTCGCATCTACCATCTGTACAAACATGTCCAATTCCGTATCACATAAAAAAAAGTTCTTTCTAATCTTCTAAATCTTATCCACAAGCTATACATTAATCTCCATAAGCTACACACTGCTCTATCTACAATCCTCACTACTCTTATCGTAAAAGTAAGATTGATTTACAAATAGAACTTACTAGTAACGTCTAGAGCTGTTATTCTGTCTCCTGTTCATCGAAGCCGATAAATTTTCAAAGGATTCTCGTGGGAATGCGGCCAGTAAGTCGGATAAGTCTGGGAAGACTGAAGAGGTACGATTATTTCTCGATGAAGATCGTAGCTCTCTTTTATTTTCGGCCCCCGTTCTCGCCTCCTGGTATCTCCAGGTTTGTTGCCACAACGAAGATACACACCCTGGTGCACGATTAATCGGCCATGGCCAAGTACTAGGTTTCTACACAACGCTGTATGCTCATCGTCCAAGGACACGGATTAGGATAGTATCGGGAAAACGCGTTCGATTTTCAGTCATAAATTCTTGTACGTTTTGTTTGATATCGATCGATCGCTAAATATTTAGTATACGTATATTTCGTCTATTTTTCTAGGATTATCTTTTCCTTCTTTTCTTTAAATTTTAGAATTCTCTTAGAGAATTTTCTTCTGATTAATGTAAAATAGAAAATTTCCCCCTTGCGGTAAGATAGAAAATTCTAGTTTAGAGCAAATGTTTTTTTTTAATTTTAACATGGAAATTAGTCATTTAGGGATAAAATAGAAAATTCTGTTTAATTAAGAGATTTTCGAGAAGTTTGACTATTCTTCAAATGGCACTCTGTGTATTTGAAAAGCTGTTTGTGTGATTCAGCGAAATATTTTGAATAGCGAAGATCTGGATAATTGAAGATTGTTATATTTATGCTGTTGGTCAGTTTCGAAGTGAATGACGTTGTTTCTGTTTTATTTCGGGAACGTGCTGATGATGTTAGAATGGTTCTGGAAGACCGAACCGAATGCTCGACTATTTTTGAATTGGTACTACTCGATATCACTCTAAGCTCTTAAATCTTCTTCGAAGTAGTTCGTAAACATTCAGGAGTTCCCGTGGTAAATTCTTAGATTTTATACTCCGATGTGCATTATCAGTCTGTCAGATATTGACGGCAACGAAAGAAATCTTACTTACGATATTTATTCAAATCCTTTGGGAGTTGCTTTACAAAAATACACCGACAGATATTTTATTCGTTAAATATTTTCTTTGTTCCGTATATTTCTTGTAAGAAAATATATTGGTAATTTGCTTTCATATATTCTATAAATTCCTCTCAAAAATACGATATCCAATTCTCCAATTTCTTTTTTCTTTCTTTCTTTTTTTTTTAGTTCCTTTTGAACGAATTATTTTTGCCAATTGATTTTTATAAAATCACAACCAACTTGTTAATTATTTAAAAAATTTCCTACATACAATTTTTCAATGAACAATCGTCCAAAGGCGCAGATCGATCAATCAAAGACTGGCATCGATCTCGTTTTTCTAATTTCGATTTATCAGCCGCTGTCGACCAACATTCGCTGTTCTTTTTTCGCTATCACCAGCAGTCTTTCCATCTTAAACAAATACATTCTGCATTCACCTATTGCCAACAATTTCCCTCTTAATATCAATGAACCACATGGCGAATTATAGTTCCTGATAATGTTAAATCATCCTTCCTTTTATCCTAATCATCTCGCCGATATTGGAGTTCCTTCGAGTGGCATAAATTTTCACTACGCAATACTATCTAGCTTTGCAACAGGCAGAAGAAGTTTCCAAAGCTCTGTCGGCACGTTTCGTCGCGATAAATCAGTGCGAAAAGCTGCTGGAGCCATTCATCAAAATCCCAGTACGCTCTTTCGCTATCTCTGCCTCGCAGTCCACATGATAGTCTGCCTTCGCGCCACACCAAAGAAATTCAAAAAATCACCTTACGTATCCTCGAAACTCGCGAGAGATAAAGCAACAGCATCTGATTCATGAACACTCTTCTCACAGTTCGTTTTTTCCACTCAAAGATCACAGATGATAAACGACTCGTCTTACCGAATGTAAAAACTGGGTCTGAAAAAGGGGTGAAAAGTTCGAACGAACGCTACGACACTTAGAACTCTTCAACTTCCGCTTATTTTGTATTTTCCACATTTTATATGTTTATTTTAAATATTTTATTTTATATATTACATTTTACACATGTATTTTCCATTACACACATTCTTTATTTTCATACTTTAGTTATCCTCTGCAATGAGAAAAATCCAGTAAAAGACCGAGTTTAATTTTACACATAAATCGCAGGATCGGTTGAGGTGAAAAAAGGAAGAAATAAAAAGTTGAAATAAGTTGATGGTGTTTGTCGTAATGAACGAGATGTTTTCGTGTTTCTATGGATAATCAAAGTCCGCCGTACTTTCGATTTGTCGTCGATCGAGGGAAAAAACTTGGATAGCCGCGTGTAAACGAATAAAACGAACGCGGTGTTTGGCGTCTTGCCCGACACTGAAGAAACACACGCACCGAAGAGGCCCGCTCCTGCCGACCATTCGTCGTCGTGTGCTACGAAGCAGCGTGTACTGTCAGTCCGTTCTCTAACATTGACAGCCTAAACTGCGAATCCTATGAGCCATTGGCGTCCATGCTACCCCCGGAAGCCGGCGTCCCCCGCCAGCTTACCACTCGAAGCTGTTAGTAAGTGCCTTCGGGTTGAAAATGATTAAAAGTTTAAAGATGAAGAACTTAACGAGAATTCAAAAAGTTTCAAGCGATGTAACGTTGGCGGGCGGTTGAATTATTTTATACAAATTTATCATCAGGCTGTTTAAATAAATATATCTCATATATATTGTATTATATATATTATATTATATACTAAGAGCAAATGTTTGGAACTGTTACTCTACTTCTTGGATAAGACGTCTTGTCTAGTATTTTTCATTTTTAAGATACGCCCAAGTATTTGAAATCTTCCGTGTTTTCTTTAATCTTTTAAATACGGTTCTAAGTTATCTTATAAAAGTAGTATGAAATAACGATTGCGTGCTTTAGATCGAAGAAAAACGAAGATGACTAAAAGATAAAAACGAACTATTTTAAGCAAGATGGGCAGATTACGTGTTGCATGGAAGAGTTCATATGAGAATTTTGCAATCTTAGGAAAATTTCCGATCGAAAATTTTATTGAAGTAAAGTATATTAGTTTGTGACAGTAAATATAATAATAACCACAATGTCTACAAATACTCAGCAAAGGAGTAAATTAAAGTATTCGAAATTAATAATGCAAGCTGCGAATCACACGAACAACCCGCCCTCTACTTCTACCCTTAGCAGTCTAACCTTCGATTGTACAGCGATCTCCAACTTTCAAAACTTAATGTAACCTATTGTAGCAAGGATTGTTGCTTAAATATACTCCTTATATAAATCATCCCCCAACGAAAGTAAATATGGAGGCGAACAGAAACTTTGTGCTTCCTCATCGATGAGTTTGCTTTTTCTTAATTGCCTGATTAGGGAAACGTGAATTAATTTGAAAGTTCTGCGAGTGGTTGGAAAGCACCGAGTGGTTGGAGATCCCTGATCTAGGGGGCCACCCTATAACAGCACGTGCACGTTTTTCGGCCGCGTGAAGGGCACGCCAGTGTACCGGGGTGGCTTTCCCTTCTTCAGATCCTCCCCTTTAATCTCTAGCTTGCTTTCCTCCATGGAATATCGGTTTGTGATTTCGACAGCTGCTCCTTTCGATTCGCGTCGCGACAATTCCTCTCGTTTCGATTCCTTGGAACGGATGGGGCAAACGTCCTCGGATGTCAAAGAATTTCTTTGTTTTCCTCTGTAAGGGCTTTCTTGGCATGTGTCGGATTGCTTCTTCTTTTCGCGAGCGAAATTGTTGGATTGGGATTACACTGGGGAATGTAAATTGAATTTTCAAAGAAGAATTTTACAGAACAGAGATTGTTGAGAATGTTTTACATGTTGAAGACGTATGGTGTTAGATATAGAGAAATATATAGGAACGTAACTTAATTTCCGTTTCCTAATTTAATTAAAGATTTTTGTTATTTATCCTATGTTTCTTTCGAATTTTTCTGTCGTAGAAAAATATAAAATTTATTTAGAAAGATCTAGAAAATTTTCTTCGTAGCCTTCATGTTTTCTTCAACTTCTTTGACGATGTATATCGTATGTAATCTGAAAATTACGCTGATCCGCAAATGTCCTGCTTGTTCTACTATACCACATGTTCAGACTAATCACTGATCGTCACCCAATACTTGGAGCAGAATGCATTCAGTGTTAGAATAGCAACAATGCATCGAGCTTATCCCGAAATCACAATTTCCACATTTTCCTCGGCCCCATTCCCACATTTAATCCCTCGTTTCTATTCTTAAACAATTGCATAGATCGATCTGTGATCCAGCTGTTCCCATTGTCCTTCAACACCATTTTTCCATCCAATCCACAGGCGACATTTGTCGTAAACTGGTCCATATGTATCGACGACCGTATATAATTGATCGATGTTAATAAAGATTCACTTGCGATCTCGATTTTATCTTACTAATTCTTACCAGTCTTTCCCTAAATTTAAATTAAAATTACCCTTGTTTCGATAAAAGTGCAATGTTCATTTTACCAAAGCGTTAGTATTGTTCTAGGAATTACAGAAACAAGAAATCTGAGTTTGCTAGTTCCAGAATTAACGAGTCAAGGAAAGTTCTTTTTATTTCAATGACACGAGAATATCGACAATTGATGGCTATATTAAGCGAAGAGCCGAATTCCCCGAAAGAATAAACAGAGAACGCTAGGGTGAAGAGTAAAAATATTTCCCAGTAAAACGAACTGCCCGATACGGCGCGAAGAAAGCGTAACAAGCTTGTGAAAAGCTTGTCAAATCTAAAAGTATGTATAGAAATTACAAAATATTTGCTGCAAGCGTATATATCGTATAATCATGACAGTCAAACTGTTTTAGACTCAAAATGTTTTATGTAACGCATACAATATAAGCGCCAAAGAATATTCATTCTAAATGTTCAAATTACTTCCGTAGGACAAGAAATTTCTGCGTGTGATTCTAGTTTAACGACAAAGCATGGTACACTCTATTTTATAATACGGTATTAAACTGAAACCTGAATAAATCCATGTCTCAAATTCTCGTACATTAAATTCAAATTATACAATCTTCACCCTTTCTCGCCCCTCTAATGTCCATATCGTCTGAGGAACATCCGTTATCTGAACATCGTCCAGACGTACTTCTGGACGACTGTCTTACCTCACAGGTAACATGTAGGGTGTCCTTGCTCTCATTGTCGAAGAAGCGAGCAAAAGTGTCGAGCGTCTCTTCTGCATGCGATTGGTCTATTGTCCGTGGCACGTGCGTTCTCGTAACGTGCATCTGCGCCGTGCCAGGAAGCTTCTTTTCCACGGATGTACACCGGTTGTCATCGATCCCCCCTGTTGTTCGTAAATCAAGCTGGAGGAGGTTCTAGACGTCTATGAAAACCAGGAAGCGAGTATATCGAGCATCTGCCGCCACGTGAAGACGGCCAACGTTAGATTTGACAGGAATGTGTTAAACTGGAAGCGATAGCCTC